GCTGCGTGGGCCTGCGGCCCGCCCGGCCCTCAGCGCCGCCTCTCCGGGCCCGCCCTAGGCATCGAGGAGCTGTGCCAGAAGCGGGAGGAGCTGTGCCGGCAGATCCAGCAGGAGGAGGACGAGAAGCAGCGGCTGCAGTGCGAGGTGAGGCAGCTGACGGAGAGGCTGGCCCGCGTCAACGAGACCCTGGCGCGCAAGATCGCCTCTCGCAACGAGTTCGACCGGACCATCGCGGAGACGGAGGCCGCCTACCTCAAGGTGCGCGGGGCAGCTCAGGGGAGGCGGGGCCCTAGCTGTGGCCCGGCCCGTCAAGGGCTTCCTGCGGGGCTTGGCGTGTCCTGCGTCCTGTCCTTTGTCCTGTACTCGTTAACTGTGTGGTTCGTCGTGCTCAGAGCCTGAAAAGCGGAGTGCTGAGCGGAGCGCGCAGCCTGAGCCAGAGCTAACCCAGCCTGGTCTTGCAGGGTGGGGAGGAAGTGGCTTTGGGCCGGACTCTGGAAGGAAAAGAGGGCCCTGCCGCTCTTGTTGCCTTGTCTGCCAGCCCCCTCAAGGACGTCCTCTCAGCTGCTCCGCCTGCCCCCTTCCACCCCCCCACCCCCCCAGGAAGGGCCCATCGGCTCCTACACCCACGGCCAGGTCCTGGCCCACAAGAAGGTGCTGCGGCAGCAAGACCTCCTCAACAGGAGGGACAGTGACAACCCTTTCATCTCTCTGGCCCCAGATCCTGGAGAGCTCCCAGACTCTGCTCAGTGTCCTCAAGAGGGAAGCTGGAAACCTGACCAAGGCCACAGCCTCAGAACAGAAGAGCAGCGGTGGCAAGGACAGCTGACAAGGCTGTTGTGGGCAGGGTCTGCCTCAGTTGTGCCCTGTGCTGACTCAGCCCCCAGCAAGTCTGTTCTCAAAGCATCTTTGTTCTTCATGGCAGCAACTGCTTTCTCTAGCTGTCTCGGGAGCTGGGGGGAGTAGCTGCCAACCTCCACTAGCCTCCTGTGACCATAAAAGCTCTGGGTACAGCCCACCAGGGGGTCCTGGCCCTGTTCACAGAGGCTATTGAGATAGTGAGTTGCAGGTCAGCTCTGCATGAGGTCTCTCTCTCTCTCTCTCTCTCTCTCTCTCTCTCTCTCTCTCTCTCTCTCTCTCTCAGGCCCCTAACTCCTTTGGGCTGCCAGGGAGGCCCTGGTTCTAGTGCCAACACCATGGGAGTTCCCTCACCTTGTTCTTTCTCAACCAGCAGGGGCCCAGGCCAAGCAAGTGGGGGAGGGAGATGGGGCCCTCCTTCACCCCAGAACCCAAACCTCTGGGCTCTCCCCAGTGTGCTGTGACTATGTCAGTAAAGGTTGCCTTTGTAAAGACCTGTCCTAGCCTGTTGCCTGTGTCACATATCAAAGAGTGTGGGCTTCCCAGGCACCCCTAGAGCCAGAGCACAAGCTCCTGCCCACCTGTGGTGGCTCCTTGTGGGAGAGGGAAGAGGAGAGCCTGGAATGGCCTTCCCTGTGACTGCCCCACTTGCCTCAGGGATGCAGAACTGAGGGTGGCCACCCTGCCCAGGTCAGCCCCAGCCCTTAGCTCTACCCAGCGGGCCTGCTGGTCCTCTTTCCCTGACTCCAGCACACAACCCATCCTTGTGTGAGGAGCTCTGCTCGTAGGTCCTGCTCTCCACTATTCTCTGGCCCCCAGCACAGAATATGTCCAGAAAGACAGCTGGTGGCTGCCAAGTGCACACACCAGCCCCTCTGGGCTCAGGTCCCTCTCAGCAACGATGAGGTGGCTTTACACCCCTGTGCCCACTCTTCTATTCCAAATTCTGCTCAGTCCAGTAGGGTCCCCCCTTCCCCGACTGCACACCAAGCACTGCCCACTCTCATTCTCCCATGCACCCTGGGAGCCCTCTGTGTCATGTGTCAGGCTGCATGGGGTCCCAGTAGCTGCAGCCACCAAGACTGCCAGGGTGCTAGGCCAGTTTGGGAAGCATGTATTGGTCAAGAGAACCCACCCCTCCCAAAAAACCACATCAAAAATACTCTCTACCTTCCCAGGCCTGGCCAGGCGGCATCTCTTTGCTCTTGGCTTCAATCCTCTGGGAGGGAGGCAGACACTGGCAGTCAGTGCTTAAGTAGGTTTCACCTGTGGTTGTAAACAGCCCCAGCTCTAGGCTGTGGCTGCCCAGGCAGCTGAGAGCACATCTAGGAGGCAGCCACCAGCCAGGAGCTGCTCCTGAGCTGCATCTCCAGTCACCTCTTGGGGACCGTCTGCCTGCACAGACTCGCTACAGGTACCTGTGGGTCAGGGTGCTTTCCAAGCCAAACAAGAGACAAGATCTTTGAGGCTGTACCCACCTCTGACTCCTGTGCCGCCCATACCCTTCCCTGCTCTTGCTCCCCTCCCAGGCTCTTGGCCCCTCAGGAAAGCCACTTCAGAGTGAACAACTGTAACACTCACTCTTCCACCTGGAGTCTAGGCCCTGGGCTCACAGAGAGCTCCAGACCCAACAGCAGGCCCAGCGTCCCACCTCCCACTATGCTACCTTTGGGAAGAAACAGGGTAATGGGCTGTGGGTAGTGGTGAGAGCCTGGACCATGGGGACCTGGAAGTGCAGGGGCCACCTCCCATACACCCTGGCACAGATGCCCAAGCTGGGCCCCACTGCATCCCATGTGGTTTCCTCCCTGCAGAGCCCTGCCACTCCGCCATTCTCAGACACAGGACTACACAGGAGGCAGAGGAGGCCTTGTCCAGTGCTGTTTATTGAGTTCATCATCAGAGGCAAGAGAAGACTGGCCATTCATCACAAAGGGGTGGCTGAGCTCTACCTTGGAATGCGGGCTGAGGGCGGGGGTTTGGAGTCCTGCAGAAAACAGGTAGCCCGGACAGCCCTTCACCCCAGACATGCCCAACAGCCGCTAGGCACAGCAAGCAGGGGCTGGGAAGCAGGATTGGCGGGCAGGACAGACAACAGCCAGGGGCAGAATGTGCTCAGGCCCCCACCTGTTCACAAATGGGCCACCATCCAACAGGACTTTGGCCCTTTTCCACAGGCAGCTCCCCACCTCTGCTCTTCCTCGGAGTCCCCAAACCAGGCCTGGGAGTGACTCAGACAGACCTGCCCCCAATGGCAGGAGGAGCCTAGGATGCTTCCAGGGCCAGCATGGCTGAGGCCACGGGAAAGAAGGGAGGGTGGGGTATAGTGGAGCAGAGCCAGGCAGGGCAGAAGGGGCTGCAGATGAAGGTGGGAGCTCCCAGGGCCCCCACACCTGAGGCTCAGGTCTTGGCTGTCCTGGCAGTGCTGCGGGTCAGAAATACAGGGCTGGCTCACTCCGGAAGTCTGAGAGGTCATTCTGACTGGCGGGTGTGAGCTGAGAAGGAGAGAGGGCAGAATGTAGCCACTGGAGCTCATCCAGGCTCAGGCAAGCCCCTTGGCGCTGTGGCTGTCCACCCTACCCCTCTGCCCCGCTCACCACGACCTCCTTCGGCAGGGGCTCTGCTTTGCTGGGAGCCTGCTCCAGTGTCTGCTCCTGCCACTTGCTGAAGGCCATGGAATGCTTTGGAGTGTAGCTGGACAGGCCTGTGGGCCAAGGACACATGCATAGACCAGGATGTGTGGTCCTGGCTCCACCCCTCCCGGGCTGCCCATCCCAACAGGTGGGCACTCACCTGAACTTCCGTCTGGCAGCCGAGGGCTCTCAGGCCCCACGCTGCTCACGAATGTGGCCCGGGGCAGGAAGACTGCAAAGGGCTTCTCTGAGTTGGACCCCTCCCCCTCCTCCTCCTGCTCCTCCTCCTCCGCCTCTTCCTCTTCTCCTTCCTCCTCCTCTTCTTCCTCCTGCTCCTGCTGTACCAGAGAGCTCTCGGACGGATACTCAAATGTTGTCTGCAGGCTCTTGTCGTTGAAGGAGATCTTCATCTAGGAGCCAGAGGCACATCAGTACGGGCCCCACTGCCCAGCTTGGCAATGATGCAGAGGGGCCCGGATGGGGCCACTCAGGTCAGACCCGAGTGGGTAGCAGAACCCACCCTCAGCCCTTCAGCAGCTCTGAGAGGTGGGGGGAGAAGACCCTACCACCTGGACCCTGCAGGTCACACCCATCTTGCCTACCCTCAGAGCCAAAACCCCTTCTTCACCCCCAGGGTTAAATCCCCCCTGGGTGACCCACTCCTCCCAGGGACCAGATTCCAGCCAGGACCAGGAGTCTCCAGAAGCCTCCACAGCAGCTCCCAGGGACAGAGGGCTGTCTGCTCAGGACCCTCCTGCTCTGCCCTGGGCAGAGCACCAGCTGGGGAGCACCAGGGATGGACACATCCTCTCCCACAGTGCAGCTCCAAGGCAAGAGCAGGGTCTCAGTGAGGTTGTCCCCTCGGGGTCCACACCCTCAGCTTGCAGCAGCACCTCCCTCTAAAGCCAAATTCACATTCTGGACTCCCCCCCACTCTCAGCCGGGATCTCTTGCCAAGGCTGTAACTAGTGATGTTTGTACAACCAAAGACTCTTTCTTGTGGTTTAAGGAGAATAAGATTGACTATGTTTTTTTTTGTTTGTTTTTTTTTTTGTCTTTTTCCGTGTCCGGCAACGGATCGCAACCCTCAGTGTTGCCCCCGTACCGGACCGGGGACCAGCAACGGGATCGCAACCCTCGGTGTTGCTCCCGCGCCTCGCTCAGCCAGTGAGCGGGAACCAGTCTGTATGTGGGATCCGAACCCTCGGCGGGAGGGCCGCCATGCTTCCCAAGCGGCGCAACCGGGCCGGCCCAGATTGACTATGTTTTTTTTTGTTTGTTTTTTTTTTTGTCTTTTTCCGTGTCCGGCAACGGATCGCAACCCTCAGTGTTGCCCCCGTACCGGACCGGGGACCAGCAACGGGATCGCAACCCTCGGTGTTGCTCCCGCGCCTCGCTCAGCCAGTGAGCGGGAACCAGTCTGTATGTGGGATCCGAACCCTCGGCGGGAGCGCCGCCATGCTTCCCAAGCGGCGCAACCGGGCCGGCCCAGATTGACTATGTTTAAAAAAAAAAAAAAAAGAATTCTTGTTCTGGCTTGCTGAGCACCTGCACAATCCCAGATGACCCTGCTGAGCACGAATCACGCTGCTGGCAAGAGCGTGGCACATGCACGGCCCAGGTGCCAAGGCCTGCGAGAGATGCCAGTGATCAGAGGCTGCCCCGCACCAGCCCAGGATGCCTGAAACAGGCACCAACACCCCTTTCACAGACTGAGTCAAGAGCTGGCCTGAGCCATGCAGAGCAGGGGTCCTGCTTCCACAGAGCCAGGGGTGGCAGCAACCATCCCATCAGTGACCTGTCCTCCCACCTTGCTGCCCTTCTGGCCCTTGTCCATCCTGTCTGCTCCGTAAGCCACAGAATCTTACATCTGAGCAAATTCTCTCCCTCTCCCAATGGCCTCAGAGTCTGGACTGGCTGCTGGTTCTGAGGGGCAGTGGGGGTGGGTTGGAGCTCAAGAGCCTTGCACCACAGTCAAGAGCTGCCCCTCCCGCGGCCAGCCCTCTGGGCAGGGGCTAAGCTCCCTGTGAGGTCTGGGCTCCCACCAGGCCTGCTGGGCCACAGTCATCTTGGGCTGGTGGGTCGGAAATGAATATGAGCAGTTACCCGCCTGTGGCAGATGGGAGCAGCCCTGCCGGAGCTCGAAATATTAAACTCCTCCTGGGCACAGGATATCGGCAGCCAGCTCAAGTTCCTCCTCCTCCCCTGGAAGGAGCCGGAGGCAGGACCAGGCCCCCAGGCAGAGAAGCCTGGCAGCCCAGGGACAGCAGGACAGGCGAGGGGCTTTGCAGGAGGGCCAGGCTGGCCTGAGGCAGCTGAGGCAGCACAGGCCGCGGGGGCGCACACAGGGAGGCCCTGCCCTGTGAGCCAGCGTCCAGAGTGAGAGCGTATGCTGCCACCCTGCCCCTCTCCCCAGCGGCCACACTCGCCCACACGGCCCGGGGCACCCTAGCCCTTACCCACCATGAACACCCCACCCTCTAAGCCTGAGCTCCCAGCCTCCTCATCTCACACACAGAGACCTTCAGGGTGACTCAGCCGCCCATGCCCCAGCTGTCTGCACAGATGAGCAGATGGAGGAGACCACCTGAGTCAGGCAGAATAGAAGTGAGATGCCTGCTCCTGTCCCTTACCCTGCCCTGCCCTCAGGCAGCCCCACTTGTCCCTCCAGCTGCATCCCGAGCAGATGGAGGAGACCACCTGAGTCAGGCAGAATAGAAGTGAGATGCCTGCTCCTGTCCCCTACCCTGCCCTGCCCTCAGGCAGCCCCACTTGTCCCTCCAGCTGCATCCCACAGGAGGCCGGGCAGGGCAGAGGCCAGGACAGCGGGGTGGCCACCAGAGGCCACAGACACCCACCCACTGCCAGCCAGCTTGGGGATGGGGTCACCTGGCCCTCCCAGACTAGCCCTCTGGGACAGGCACCCCAGGAGAGGCCCAGGCAGGACGGAGCTGGCAAGCCAGGAGCCTTCCCCTGCCCAAGGCCCAACACATGGAGCTATATCTGACAACACTGGAGCCCCCAGGCCCATCCCCCGTCACTAAAAACACAGGAAGGGCCAGCTGCCAGAGCCCAGCGGATTAGCATGCACTCACTAGTCCACATGACCAGCTCCCAGCAGGGAGGCCAAGGGGCTGGGAACACTCCAGCACCGAGCCTGGCACAGCCTGGCCATGCAGAGGGGGAGTTGCTTACAGGCGCCTCTCTGCCACCTAGCTGGGGCCCACAGCCCTGGTCACGTCCCACCTCCCCTTGTCTTATCTCAGTGCACTGCAGGATTCACAGGTCTCCCTCCCCTGGATCCCAGCTCTAGCATCCTCCCCTCCCACTGCGGGTGCAGGTCAGTGGGTGACAGGACACCCCATGACTCATGCTGCTGGGGGAGGGGACAGCCTCCCGACCCTAGGCAGACATAACAGGCAGGAAGGTGTGGCCAGGGGCCGGCACTGCCTATACCTGGTCACTGGCCTCTCTGGGACTTTGCCCGTCGCACGAAAACAGCAGGCAGGTGGGTGCTGGCTGGGCTGAGACTTCAGGCAGAACCTCCTGGCTTTCACAGGCGCTTTTGTTCTCCTTTGACCCACCCTGCCTGTGCACGCCCGCCCAGCTTGGATTACCAAGGGATGTCCACCCTGGGCTCAATCTGGGGAGCTGGGCTCAACCTGCCCAGCTGCAGGTGTGACCTCAGCCCTGCCCCACCCCTCACATTCCCCAGCACATACCTACCTGCCTCCCATCCCCCATGCAAACCCAGCTCAGGGGCAACATGACCACCCCATGCAGCCCCCAGCCAAAGTTCCCACAGGTGACAGGACACCACACCAAGGCTGCCCAAGTAGGTTGTCAACAGCTGCTTCCCATGACACTGGATGCTCCCTGAGTCAGATGCAGTCCCAGCCTGGGGCAGACCCTCCACCAGTGGCGAAGCTGAGCGGAGCAGGCCTGGACCCTGCTCCAGGCCCTGGCTCCAGAAAGACCACTTAGGCAGACACCCAACAGGAGAGGTGAGGGAGAGATGGGAAGAAAAGGAGGGCAGAGAGGAGATTCAGCCCCCAAGACCAACAGGCACAATGGCCGCTGGGCCACCTAGTGTCCTGCCCAGCACAGGGGAGAGACGTAGAGAGAGTGCCAGCCAGGATGGTGTAGGGCCTGACACTGGTGGAAGACAGTGTTGCTAGTAAGAGCATCTTGGGGAGGGAACACTCTCAGGTCTAAAGACTGCAGCGGGACTGAGGACGTGGAAGTCACGCTGCAAGAGTAGAGGTGATTACAGGCAAGGGTGGGGTGAGCCCTGGGGACACTGACATGCTCGGGATGGGCAAAGGACCAGGAGGGAGAGGAGGGGGAGGAGCAGCCAGACAGGCAGGAGCCAGGCCAGGCAGCGCTCCACAGAGAGAGGCCAACAGCACTGAGTCCCATGGGAGGCAGGTGTGGGGAGGGGTGAAAGGACACCCTCACCCACCAGGAAAACTGCCTAGAGGGCATGGCTGCCACCACTACAGCAGTCAGCTGGAAGCCTGGCCATAGAGATAGGGCAGCTGTTGATTCCACCAACAGATAAATGGGGACCTGTGTCCGCAAGGCAGGCCTCCCCAGCACACAGGCCAACAGGGAGGCAGCCCCCACCCTCCAGAGCGGGGAGGTGGCACCTCCCACCACAGCCCTGGGGAGCAAAGTGAGCCCTGGGACTTGCACCCCAGCCCATAGCCCACCCACATCCTCCTAGGGGGAGAAGCAGGAAAGAGATCCCAACCAAAGGCTGGCTGCAGTGGCCTGGGCAAGGTCGAGGCCCAGGGCCAGCAGGAGCAGCCTGGGGGCTGCTCACAGCCCAGGGGATGCCAGGGAATGAGCAGAGCATATTGGGCGGCCCCGCCCCGTGGGCCCACCATGCCCAGGGCCAGCAGGCCACTCCCAAAGGCTGGGCAGCCCCACGCCTCCATCCCATCCCAACACGCATTCCGGCTCTTCCTGGGCAGGGCAGTTGGTGCATGCCCAGGCAGGAAGGCACAGCCAGCAGGTCTTGCTGCTCAGGCAGGGTCCTGCCCAGATCACTCGGCCATGTCAGCCATCATCCATCTGGACCCTAGCCCCCTCGGGCTGGCACAGAGACCAAAGCCAGGCTGGGCCAACCCCCTCCCCACTGCCTCCCACCTTGGCCCCACCTTCCATTGCTCCTCCCTGCCCCTGCTGGCCCTCGGCTCCCACCCTGCCCTTCTCACCCACTGAGCCACGAATAACCCCCACAGCTCTGTCCCCAGCCGGGGGCAGAATGGCCATGTTCAGGGTGGATGGCAACATGGGTTAAGGGTAGGAGTTCTGGAAATGGGAACCTGAGCTTAATTCTTGTCCCACAAGCTCCACGACCCCAGTGAGCCTCCTGAACTCAGTCTCTTATCTACAAAAGGGAGAGCTGTTACCACTACTACTTCCTGCGGCAATTGTGGAAAGAGACCACCTCATAGACCAGCCAGGGTCAAGGGTCAGGAAGCAGGAAAGGGAGGGGCAGACAAGTGGGGCAGGGTGGGAGGAGCTGGAGGCTGTGACTGGATCCTCCTCACCTTGAGGGCTCAGGACCGGGTGCAGGGCCTGGCAAGGGTGTTGACAGACTGGGCCCAGCCCTGAGTTCCCCCACCAGTACTGGCGTGAACACCTGACCCAGCAGATGGAGCGCAGAGGCCCTCATGCAGGGAGGACGAGTGATGCCAAGGCTAGCCCACCACAGGAAGCAAGAAGAGGGAGGGGCCGGCCGGTTAGAGAGCTGGCAAGGCACAGTCACTACCAGCCCAGCACTCCAAAGAAGCAGGCTGAGGATGGAGGGGTCTCAGGGGCAAGTCTAGACACCACCCAGCTGGGCTCTGGCAGTGCCCAGACAAGAGCAGCAAAGGAGATGCTCACCAGGCGCTGTCCTGGTACCTGGGGAAGGCGTATCTGCCCTGTACCAGCTGACGGTGGGGTCAGGTGGGGCTGGACTTGGAATTTGCCCTGGGACAGAGGCACTGGAATGACCAGGAAGAATCTGAGGAATTTTTTCTTGAGCCAGAGGGTTCCAGGCCGCTAGCCAGGGAGTGAGGCTCACCTGGCTGGATGGCTCTGAGCCTCCTGCAAGGCTGCACTTGGGTCTCTCTGCCCCAACAAGGCCTCTCCTTCCCAAAAAGCTCCCCAGCAGCACACCCCTGGCTCCAGACCAGCTCTGGCACACACACTAGGCGCTCAATCAACATTCAGGTCCTGCCAAGCTCTGGGCCAGTGTGCCTTCTGGGGAGCTGAGAATCTTCTCCAAGTGGCTCATGGACTGCACCCCCAGGCTGACAGCGAGGTAGGGGTTCAACTGCACCGATATCACCAGCCTCCTACCCCATTCCACCTATATCTAGGCATCTGCCAGGTTCAAGCAGACTATGCTAGGCTAACCCCCTCAAAGCCAGGGCCAGGGAGGAGCCATCGAGCCCAAGGGATCCTTCTCCCAGCCGGACCCACAGTGGTACAGGGCTGCTCAGCCAATACCAGACAGAGCTCAAGAGCTAGCAGGAGGCACAGCACTGACTGGAATGGCCCTCCCCATCAGCCATGCGAGGTATATGGTAGGCCAGCTGTCCTCACGGCCCCTGGGACATTGGGGCTCCACTGGGACCCTGGGCCTGGCACAGCCACCCAGCCGGGTTCTCCACTAGCCCACACAGGAGCCATCCCCTGCCCAGGCCAGGTTTCCTGGGATCAGGGTACATGCTGTACCCACAGCACTGAGACCTGCCACCCTCTCCCTCCCAGCCGGTGGCCCTGCCCGCACCACTGACCTTCTTTCTTGAGGAGCCAGCCTTGGTGAGGCAGGACTTCTGCAGGGCCAGGTAGCCGCCGATCACCTCTATCTCATGCACAGTGGGGTAGCGCTTTTTCGGGGTGGTCCCCGGGGCAGCGCGTGGCCCCAAGAGGCTACCGTCCTCCTCTTCCTTGGCTTCCTGTGGCTGAGGTTCCCCGTTGGCGGCCTGACCTAGGTGCTGCTCCTGCAGGGTCCCTGGCTTCCTCTTGGGCACCACTGTGAAGGTGTTGCTGCCGCGGTGCTGGGGCTCTAATGTGTGTCCAGGCCTGGCAGGGTGCAGGCGGTACCGGGGAGGTGCACCAATCTCTGAGCAGGGCAGTTTGGCTTCTTGTGGGGTCTCCTCCTCTGAATCCACCTCATCAATGAAGGTCACGGGCAGCTCTGGCCTTCCATGCTCCTGGCCATTCTTGGCCAAGCCAGGAACCCCGTAGCCCTCGGCAGGCTCAGCTTCGGCAGGGGCCGACAGCCATGGGGGTGGCGAGGACGGCCTCTGCCACCTGACGGCCCGGTCGATGAGAGCAGTGGCTGGCCTGGGGCAGCTGCCCTCCTCAACTGCCCACTTCCCCTCGACCCGGGAGGGGCTCCTCCCGAGGGCAGGCGCACCATCTGCTCCAGGCACCAGCTGGGCTCTGAGCTCCTGGCTCTGGGAGGCCCAGCCCACCTCTCCCTTTGGCAGCTCCGCAGACTGCCTCCCCTCGAGAGGAGGGACCCCGGAGGCCTTGCGCTTGGGGATGAACACGAAGGAGTTGCGGGAGTTCACCCGGAGGCTGGCCAGAGTCTGAGCCTGGAGATCCCCCGAGGGGACGGTCTCCATGTCTGGCTTGGGGGCCGGCCTTATCTCGAAGGAGTTGTTGGCGCTGGTGGCTGCGGAGACCCTCTGGAGCTGGCTGGGAGTGGCACTGGCAGGGCTGGGCGCAGGGAAGGCAGGGGGCGCGGCTGGAGTGGCACTCGGGGTCCCGGGACTGGGGGGCGGGTGGAGGGAGGGCTCCCCCGCCTCCACCTTTGGCTTCCACTCGCTCAGCCCCGGCGGGGAGCCCGCGAGCCCGTTGGAGAGCGGGCGGGCGCCGACGACGCGGTGCAGGCCCCGGGGGTGGACGGTGAAGGAGTTGCTGCCGGTCTTCTGCAGGAAGTCGCTGCGCCGGGCCCCGGGGCCGGCCCGGCCGCCT